CAATGAGCTTGCCAATAACCGTACCAAGATAGTCATTGCCAGCCTCATGGATAAAAAGGAAATGGTGCCACGATCCTTCCCACAGCGACTTGCTCAATTATCAGAACACCTCATAAGACCGGCCATTTTCAACAATGGGTGGCTCCTTACAATTTTCGGCACAGCAGCTTCCAGCTCCTCAATGCTGACTGAGAGAGAACACGGCAGAGAAAATAAACGCATCACTAGTTCAGATTCTTCACAAGCAAATACTAGCATGTTTTACCAGATAACTCTTGCCCTTTAGCTAACAGTGCCCCTAGTAACGACAATCAGATACGAGCCTTCGGTAGAGCACTAAGTCTAGAAACAGCTGGAGAAGCACTGGATTTCTTACAAGAGACAATGTATGTATATGTATGTATTTGTGTATCCTTTCACACAGCGTGACAGTGACAAGGATGAAACAGCACCAGGATAATCACACACACACATATATATATAGGCGGGCCGCAGTATGTTGGCTGAGAATTTGGCACATTGCAAGTTTACTCCCTTAACTTGGCATGATATTTCATCTAGCTCCCTTAACTCCAAAGTGTGCATCAACTCCAACTCCATGTACGGTCTCAAGGTAAACAATCTAGGCCACAACAAGCTTACATGAACCATCCCACTGGAGATCGGCAACCTTGTGAGTCTTCAACAGCCTGCACACTGGAAACAATACAGGGGGAAGAAACACCACCTCGCATAAAGATTTCCTAGTGAACAACTAGTCAGTTAAGTCGAGCCATCGAGAACCTGCTTAGTTTGTTGTTTGAGATAAACCTGAACATGCCTTTCAGTTTTTTCTCTTACGGCTTTGCCCGCTTTTCCCACTCTATGTGCCCTTGTATGCATAGTTCTATTTCTTCTTAGTCTGCAAACAGAAACGGTAATGCATCTTTTTCCTTTGCATAAGAGTGACAGAGGGGGAAAATAGCACAACAAAAATAGTCAGATGTTGATGACATGCAAGTCACAATGCATTGACAAGAGAATTGACCAGTGAAAGCTACTTTCTTGATTAGCTTATGTATCCTCAGTTTGACAGTACACTTGGAAACGGGGACAAGTAGCGTTCACAAAAGAAAAGACACAAGAGACAACCGATACTAATTAAGTTCAAGAACTGAAGAAGACCTCTTTGACGAGACAATGCAAATCAGTTTCCAAGAAACTTCCTGCATGAATTATTGAGCAACTTGCCTTGCACCCATCAATCTATATAACATAGAGAAGAACAGTACACTTGTCTACTGGAATCAGAAAGAAGGGAGCAAAAACAGCCTTGGTAAAAATATGGTAGCTGCAGGTTTCCCCATGCTTGTTCTTCTGCTCCTTGCACTTGCTGCTAGCACGGGGTCAGCACCTATTTCACATGCTGGAATCGCCACAAATAATTCCAGTGACCACTTTGCTCTCCTTTCCTTCAAGTCGCTCATAAGGGATGACCCCTTGCAAGCTCTGGAGTCATGGAGCAACCAGTCCATGCCTATGTGCCAATGGCACGGCGTGGCATGTGGCAGACGAGGACGCCACCGTGGACGGATCGTCGCGCTGGACCTCAGCGACCTCAACCTTCTGGGTGCTATCTCCACCTCGGTGGCCAACCTTACATTCTTGAGGAGGCTCCGCCTCCACAGTAACCGCCTCCATGGTGCCATGCCATCAGAGCTTGGCCACCTGCGGTACCTGAAGCACCTCAACCTGTCGAGAAACACTCTGGATGGTGCTATTCCGCCGTCGCTTTCACGGTGCTGGCATCTCGAGAGCATCAGCCTTGCTTACAACAGGCTGAAAGGGGAGGTACCACGGGAGCTTGGTGCCTTGCCCAACCTACGTTCAATTCAGCTCTACCAGAACGAGCTCGAAGGGGAGATACCACATGAGCTTGGCTCCTTGTACAATCTCAAGGTACTCAGTTTAGGCTACAACAAGCTTTCAGGAACCATCCCTTTAGAGATCAGCAACCTTGTTAATCTGAAGTTTCTGCACATCGGAAACAATGAGCTAACAGGAGAAATACCCCCTGGCATAGGTAACCTTGTCAAATTAAACGCACTCTCTCTAAGTTCAAATCAATTCTCTGGTTCTATCCCAAGTTCAGTAGGAAATCTCTCAGAACTGGCCTTTCTTATTCTGCACACAAATAACCTAACAGGGAGTATTCCATCATTACATAATCTTTCATCTCTCTCAGTGCTTGGATTAGCAAATAATGACCTGACAGGATGCATCCCATCTGGGTTAGGAAACCTCACATCACTAACTTCTATAGATCTTCAGCACAACCATCTAACTGGACAAATTCCAGCATCACTAGGGAACCTCAACTTGCTTGACAGTCTTGCTCTGTCCTTCAATAACCTTTCAGGTCTCATACCTCACTCCATTGGAAACCTGCACTTCCTCTCTGATATTGACCTAGACAATAATGAATTAGAGGGGCCATTGCCTCCTTTGCTATTCAATCTTTCCTACCTCCAAGTTCTCAATGTACAAAGCAATTATAACCTCAATGGATCTTTTCCATTTGACATGGGAAACAACCTTCCAAATCTACAGCTCTTCTTTGCAAGTGAAAATAAATTCCATGGTCCTATTCCTCCCTCTTTGTGTAATGCCTCTATGGTTCAAATGATTGAGCTCGTTCATAACTCCCTAACAGGAACAATTCCCAATTGCCTGGGAAGTCACATGAAGAGCCTGTCCGTATTAACCATCGCCCTAAACCAGATTCAAGCAACACAAGATGCCGACTGGGGCTTCTTGATCAGCCTAAGCAATTGTAGTAATTTGCAAATGTTGGATTTAGGTGATAACATGCTTGAAGGTGAAATACCGAGTTCGGTAGGCACCCTCTCCAGAAATCTAGAGTACCTTAACATGGAAGATAACAGCATAACGGGAAAGATTCCTCAAGTAATAGCAAACTTGACCAATCTGCACACACTTGTGCTATATGGTAATCATTTAGAGGGTACTATTCCAACTTCTCTTGGCAAAATGAAGGGGCTAAATTTGTTAATCCTAGGAATGAATGACTTATCAGGGTCTATCCCTCCAACATTCGGCAATCTTACACAACTAAGCGAACTTGATCTTAGTGGCAACATGCTTAGTGGAAGCATACCTTCTAGTCTTATGTGGTGTCCACTACAAAAATTAGACCTTTCAAACAACAGCCTTGTTGGTCCAATACCTAGGAACCTATTCCTTATAAACACATTGTCCATCTATATGAAAATCCAAAATAATCTATTAACCGGGGATTTGCCTATAGAATTAGGTAACTTAAAGAATATTGGGGAACTTGATTTCTCCGGTAATCTAATATCTGGAGAGATTCCAATCTCCCTTGGAGAGTGCCAAACACTGCAGTATCTGAATGTATCTCGGAACAACCTTCAAGGGTCAATTCCATCATCAATCGAGAAGATGAAAGCCCTATTGATGCTTGATCTTTCCCATGATAATCTCTCAGGGAGCATCCCTGAGTTCCTCGGGAGCATGGAAGGACTTGCTGGTTTGAATCTCTCATTCAACAACTTGGAGGGTGAGGTTCCAACAGATGGGATCTTCAGCAATGCAGCTTCTGCCTCTGCCTCAGTTATGGGAAATGATGGCCTGTGTGATGGAATCCCTCAACTGAAGTTGCCACATTGCTCCAATCTCACCACCAAGAAACCAACTCAGAAACTGGCCATAATATTCTCCATATGTGGTGCAGTTGTATTTATTGCATTGGTATTTGCACTGTCGACATTCTACAGTAAGAGGAGGAAACTGAAAGCAAACAAGCAAACATCATCCATCAACGAGCAATATTTGAGGGTTTCTTATGCTGAACTGGTCAGTGCAACTAATGGTTTTGCTTCAGAGAACCTCCTTGGTGCCGGAAGCTTCGGCTCAGTGTACAAGGGAACAATGATGATGAATGACCAGCAGGTAGTGATTGCTGTGAAGGTGCTCAACCTCATGCAGCGAGGTGCATCTCAAAGCTTTGTTGCAGAATGTGAGACCCTGAAATGCGTTCGACATAGGAATCTTATGAAGATAGTAACGGTGTGCTCAAGCATTGATTTTCAAAATCGTGACTTCAAGGCCCTTGTGTACGAATACCTACCAAATGGAAATTTAGACAAATGGCTACACCACAATCCCATGGAAGATGGTGAAAATAGGAGACTACATTTCCGTGTGAGACTGCAGATTGCAGTTGATGTAGCATTATCACTCGAATACCTTCACCAACATAAGCCAATGCCAGTTATTCACTGTGATCTTAAGCCAAGCAATGTTCTCCTTGATGGTGAAATGGTTGCTCATGTTGGTGATTTTGGGCTTGCAAGGTTTCTACATCAAGGCTCAGAGGAAACAACTAGTTGGGCATCAATGAGAGGCACAATAGGCTATGCCGCTCCAGGTGAGCTTTTAGTTATTGTAGCATCTTATTCTGTTCTACAACCCCCCTAGGCTTTCTTATTACTTCACATTTTGATGCAACTACTTACCTTATAAATTGGAAAAGAACTAGATATGTATTTTAACCTCTCCATTTCAGTTTGCTCACATTTTTCTGTCAATTCCAGAGTATGGACTGGGCAACGAAGTTTCAATTCATGGTGATGTCTACAGCTACGGCATACTGTTGCTGGAGATGTTCACTGGAAGAAGGCCAACAGACAGCAAATTTGGAGAATCCTTGGGCATTCACAAGTATGTGCAAATGGCATTGCCAGACAGGGCAACAGAGGTCATAGACCGACACTTACTAGCAGAGACAGAAGATGGGGAAGAAAGCACCTCAAACTCTGACAGCATCGTGGATCTGAGAATTGCTTGCATCACTTCAGTCCTGTGCACTGGGATTTCGTGCTCACAAGAGACACCAACGGATCGCATCCAAATTGGGGGTGCTCTGAAAGAGTTGCTGGCAATAAGAGACAGATTTGACAAGGAGTTGTGTGCGGAAGGCGAGCCAGCAAACTAAAGCATACGAAGCCATTCAAGCAACCAGGACTGGTCAATAAGGACGGCAAGCTTCCATTTCAATAGGCTCCAGCAAAAAGTATTGCCGTGATGGTATAAAAAACTATGTGTTTGGTGGAATATTTGTTGTATTGCCGTAATGGTATATCTGTATTGTTGAATTGTACGTATATATAGTGTTGTATAAACCATATGCCCTAGAATAAGTCCATGGTGTAGCGCATGCGTCTGTTTGTTGTAATAATCAGCCGGTTATTAAGATTAACGTGAGGATCATACCGGCTGATCCCTCTGTAATCTGTCAAACTGTCAAACACCATGGACCTATATAACATGTACGTCTCCCTGCCTAACAGCATACACTTCCAGCCCCACTTTTTTACTTTAATAAACTGCCTTATGTATTCTCCACGACTGCAATTTTTTACTGAGTATATGACCAGAACAATGAACTCATCTTAGCTAGGAGTACAAGATTGCACGCTTTCACATCATTCCCTTCACGCAGTGCTTAGCTTATTCGCTTAGATCCTCGATTATCACCAGGATCTCATCCACGACTGGGTTCTTCTTCCCTTGGAGCTTGCAACGTGCGCAAATCACACGTGTAAACTGGCACTAATCGCTGAGATGGATTGGTAAGAATGGAAGGAAGGAGGCGTTACCTCCGTCTTGGTGGTCGAGGACAAGCCAAGCAGCTAAGCGAGGCTGCTGCCGCAGCGGAGGAATCTGACGGCGGAGTTCGTCGCGGCGAAGGGGGGCGGCGGGTAGAGGCGCCAACCGGCGGCCGAGTGGCGGCGGAAGTCGAGGACCCGACGAAGCAGAGAGCAGATGTATTTTTTTGAGGGGAAGAGAGCGGATGTATAGCAGGCTCGTGCTTGTCATGGGCTAAAAGTAAACGCTATTTGGGTTATCTTTTGGCCCAACACACTGGTATTGGCGGTGTATACCATGTAAAAAAATGCCTAATCCTCAAAAAAAATGTAAAAAAATGCCTAAAAATGTCAGAAAAAAATTAACATTGTTGTATCTCCTTTTTTTAAGAAACAGTTATGATGCTTTCACAATGTTTGATGACTCATTCCTTGATTGCAATTTTCTATTGATAGCTTAACAAGTTGGCTTCTTGGTAATTGATGACCCATTCGGGACAGGGCGGTAACCGATGTTTGATAACCTAATTTCATACAAAATTTAGGAATTCCATGGGTAACTCTATTTTTATCTTAGCAAGGGGAAGAAATTTTGAATAAGTCGCAAGCAGCCTTGCTTTAGTCACATAAGCAGCCTTGTTCATCATTGAAGCACAAAGATATTGTTCGTCCTCAAGGCTACTGCACATTGTAGTAAATATATCAAGGACATATGACGACCATGCATATAGGATCACACACCACAATTCCCACACTCCCTTGTTCCAGAGCGGCGCCACCCAGCTTTAGACTCTCTAAAGAGATAAACCCCTACGCCCTGGTTGTGTTGCATTCATTTGGATGGTACAAAGTATAGGTTGATCTACCACGAGATCGTTGTGTCTCGTCTCTAAGGTGTTTCGAGATGTCCTATCGACTAGCCTAGACTGGTTTATATAAGATATCGGATGCCTACAATAACAGGAGTCCTAGCCGGCTACGTCGGTGGAGAGGAGTCTTTGTATTGAACGGCAAGGCTTCTGAAATCTTCCTTGTATGCATCATGGGCAGCCCGAAGTGGCCCGGGACAGAACCGACAAGGAGGTCCTTAGCCCGATCCAGCTGGGAGGTAGTCGATGTGGTGAGAGGTCCCCTAGCTAGGACACCATCCGTAACCCTTGAACCAGTCTTCAAGTCTGGCCACACCTCTGCTTATTTGAGCTGCTCGTCATCTTTAGTCGTCGATCTAGAAACTAGTTCAACGAGAACTTTCCCCAATCAGTGTCTTCCTGCAGCTGAGCTCCGGTGCTGGACTGCATCTGAGGTGACGTAGACCACCTCAGTCTTGAAAACATTGAAGGGGTATAGCTGAGATACATGACGGAAAGGTTTCCTAAGCAGGTAGCCGCCCGAACTGGCCTCCATGTCGGATTGCTATCGAAGTTGTGTGCACCACCTCGGTCTTTAGTTGTCGATGTATATGGTCGGCCTATGCGGGAAAAAACTTCCCGCCAAGCCGACTTTCGTGAGCCAATTTTTCTTGGGTTTTTCTGACTCATACAATTTATTCTCTGTCGGGATGTATAGCCAGCAGCCCTCAAGATGAGTGCCGACTCAAAATTCGGTATGCACTTGAAGGATAGGATAAAACTTTTTATCCCAGTAGCCCCTGAGACTCAGGTCGATTTGCCAAATAGGCCCGATCGAATCCTCACTTAGTAGCATACTTTGGAAAGAATGTGATGTGCATTAGCCCTCAAGACTCGGGTGGATCAAAATCTCCTCGGAAACCGTATAACTCTTTGTATTTCCTGCATGGGATAATTGGTTTTATACCTTAGTTGTGTCCCCCTCGTCAGGATTGCCCCTAGTTTCTGAAAACACGTGGTCTTGCCCAACCCACTTTGGCATCTTGTGCTTTTGCCCTTTGACCGTTTGATCTTCACTTTGAAAACTTCATAACTAATTCATACTAAAAAAATTGCCACCAATGTCACTCCCTGATGAAACTTGGCAAGCAATTAAAACATTTGTCATTCTTTGCCACCAACTTTTTTTACATTTTACTGTTCATGGTGGTATGATAAGAGCTAAGACTCGGATGGGCACTTACCAACACATTTGTCATGAATGCAACTCACATTGACATACGGGTGATGTTTTTCGAATATTTTGGTATCTTATTGAAGGAAATATGCCCTAGAGGCAATAATAAAGTTGTTGTTTATATTTCCTTATATCATGATAAATGTTTATTACTCATGCTAGAATTGTATTAACCGGAAACTTAGTACATGTGTGAATACATAGACAAAACAGAGTGTCCCTAGTATGCCTCTACTAGACTAGCTCATTAATCAAAGATGGTTATGTTTCCTAACCATGGACATGTGTTGTCATTTGATGAACGGGATCACATCATTAGGAGAATGATGTGATGGACAAGACCCATCCGTTAGCTTAGCATTATGATCGTTACAGTTTCACTGCTACTGCTTTCTTCATGACTTATACATGTTCCTCAGACTATGAGATTATGCAACTCCCGAATACCGGAGGAACTCCTTATGTGCTATCAAACGTCACAACGTAACTGGGTGATTATAAAGATGCTCTATATGTGTCTCCGGAGGTGTTTGTTGGGTTGGCATAGATCGAGATTAGGATTTGTCACTCCGTGTTTCGGAGAGGTATCTCAAGGCCCTCTCGGTAATGCTCATCACTATAAGCCTTGCAAGCAATGTGACTAATGAGTTAGTTGCGGGATGAAGTATTATGGAACGAGTAAAGAGACTTTTTGATAACGACATTGAACTAGGTATGATGATACCGACGATCGAATCTCGGGCAAGTAACATACTGATGACAAAGGGAACAACGTATGTTGTTATGCAGTTTGACTGATAAAGATCTTCGTAGAATATGTAGGAGCCAATATGATCATCCAGGTTACGCTATTGGTTATTGATCGGAGATGTGTCTCTATCATGTCTACGTAGTTCTCAAACCCGTAGGGTCCGCACGCTTAACGTTCAATGACGATTTGTATTATGAGTTATGTTTTTTGATGACTGAAGTTTGTTAGGAGTCCCAGATGAGATCACAGACATGACGAGGAGTCTCAAAATGGTCGAGAGGTAAAGATTGATATATTGTAAGGTGGTATTTGGACACCGGAAGGGTTCTGTATCGGGTACTAAGCGGAGTATCGGAAGGGTTACTAGAACCCCCCAGTGGAAGATATGGGCCATATGGGCCATGGGAGGGAGGCTAACCAGCCCGCAAGGGGATAGTGCACCCCCCACGAGAGAGGAGGCCGAATTGGACTAGGGAAAGGGGGCGCCACCCCCCTTTCCTTCTCCTACTCCCTCTCCTTCCCCCTTTCCACCTCCGTAAGAAGGAAAGAAAGAGGGGGGGCGAAACCTACTAGGAGTGGAATCCTAGTAGGACTCCCCCTCCCTTGGCGCGCTCCTGGTGGTCGGCCTGCTCCTCCCTACTTTATATACGGGGGCAGGGGCACCCCAAAGGCACAACATTGTCTTAGCCGTGTGCGGTGCCCCCTCCACCGTTTACTCCTCCGATAGTATCATCATAGTGCTTAGGAGAAGCCCTGCGTGGATCACATCACCAACACCGTCATCACACTGTTGTGCTGACAAAACACTCCCTCGACCCTCTGATGGATCAAGAGTTCGAGGGACATCATTGGTAACCCACAAGTGTAGGGGATCACAACAGCTTTCGAGGATAAAGTATTCAACCCAAATTTATTGATTCGACACAAGGGGAGCCAAAGAATATTATTGAGTATTAGCAGTTGAGTTGTCAATTCAACCACACCTGGATAACTTAGTATCTGCAGCAAAGTAGTATGATAGTAAAGGTAACGGTGGCAAAAGTACTATTTTTGGGTTTTGTAGTGATTGTAACAATAGCAACAGAAAAGTAAATAAGCGAAACACAAGATGTGAAAAGCTCGTAGGCAATGGATCAGTGATGGATAATTATGTCGCATGCGATTCCTCGTGTAATAGCTATAACATAGGGTGACACAGAACTAGCTCCAGTTCATCAATGTAATGTAGGCATGTATTCCGTATATAGTCATACATGCTTATGGAAAAGAACTTGCATGGCATCTTTTGTCCCACCCTCCCGTGGCAGCGGGGTCCTAACGAAAACTAAGGGATATTAAGGCCTCCTTTTAATAGAGAACCAGAACAAAGCATTAGCACATAGTGAATACATGAACTCCTCAAACTACGGTCATCACCGAGAAGTATCCCGATTATTGTCACTTCGGGGTTGTCGGATCATAACACATAATAGGTGACTATAGACTTGCAATATAGGATCAAGAACACACATA